CGGGAGCGGGGCGGCAGCGGCGTCTTAGAGCGATGGGTCCCTCGCAGCTCTGGCGGTGAAGTTCGCGGAGCGGCAGCGCTCGCACCACTGCCTGTTGGTGAAGGAGCACCAGGTGCGGGAAGGGGCCGACGCCGCGCACCCGCCTCGCCGCACCCTCTTCGTCCTCAACGTGCCCCCGTACTGCGGCCCGGTGAGTGGGGGTGGCGGGGCCGAGCGCTGGGCGGGGGCCCGGGGGCCCGGGGGCCGGTGTGCCTGGGGCTGCTCCGGGCTGGGGCCGCCCGGAGAGCTCTGCCGCCTGTTCGAGGGAGGCATCGCTCCTGCTTTGCTGTACCGCGTGTTTTCTCTCACTCTCCGTGTTAAGGACTCTCTGTCTAGGCTGTTCTCTCGCTGCGGGCATGTGCAGTCTGTGGACATCTGTGACAAGCCAGGGCCAGGAGAGAAAAAAGATAAACTGGCGTCCAAATTCTTTGACCAGAAAACTCTAAAGGTAAAGCTTGGGCGGGGGAGAGGAATACTTCAGTGGGGAAAGATGGCAAATACTGAATGATTCTCTGCAGAGCATGAGGCAAAAGGAAACCACATGGGGCATTGGGTGACATGATCACTTACTTTAGTACTTTCTTGCTCCATCACCAATTTCACTTACATATCTGACTCACCTCGGTGGTTTTTTTCTTTCAGGGATTTCAAGTAGCATATGTGGTGTTCAGGAAACCAGCAGCTGTCCAGGCAGCCAAGGCTCTATCACAGAAAGGTCCCCTGATAATATCAACAGAGAGCCACCCTGTGAAAACCGGCATTAGCAGTATGTCAGCTCTGGCTGTCTTTCTGAGGGCTAATGCTGGGGAAGAACTATACTCATTGTTTGCTGAATTCTACCCTGCATGTCCCATTTTGTTCTAAAGCTGGGGATATGTCTAGTGTTTTCTGTTCTTTTATTATTCACAGTGTGGTAGTCTTACTGAACCAGAAGTTTAGGTCTGGTCCGGTGACCCTTTGGGAGAGTGGGGAACAGTCCTTTTTTCCAGACATTTTTTCAGTATTATTCAGAGATACCATCTACATCTTGTCCTCAAAATGGACACCAGACTCATGCAACAGGCCTCAAATGTCTGTCAGGTGGACAGCACTTCACATATAATTGCTTGACAGAAGCACAGCCCTGAATGTTGTGCCCCTTAGGCTTCAGTCTAACCCACTTCTGCTTGGGCAAATTGCAAACTCTTCCCATGGCATATTGATTGTGCTCTCAGCCAAGTCAGTTTGAGCTGTGTCAGGGGGAAGGTGACCACAAATGGGATCAATATGTCCATCCCCCATGCTAGAGTTCACTCTAGAGCTGCCCAAAAGCACCACACTAGCCTGCTTCTAATAGCAGCTACTGCTGAATTGTGCCCTCTCTGTCTCAGAGTGGATCGCCAGCTATGAGGCCTCCATCGTGGATCCGAAGGAGCTGAAGGCTGAGGTGGATGCCTACATGGAAGACTATGATAAAAAGATGGCAGAGGTGAGGCCAAGCTAGGGACAGAACCCAACTAAGCAGTTTTCTTGGGGAGGAGAGAAAGAAGAGAGATTTCTCAGTGGTTCAGCCATAGTGGAAAGGGCTGAGGGTCTCTCTGTTTGACAGAGTTTTTTTACTCCCTGCTGTTGGGCAGTCAGACACAGGTTTGGTCTGCAGCATCTGACCCCCTAGGGCTTACAACAGATATCCACAAATAAATTGGTTTATGGCTGGCATGCAATGTTGTGACTGAGAGTAGAATGCCTGCAGCCCTGATCCCATGCCTTCCTTTAAATCTTGTGTGGAAGCAGGAGCTGTAACTTTGCCTCTGTTTAAGGGAGGGCTGTGGGGAGCTGTGCATAGGCTGTGCATCTGCACTAGGCTGCCTCACCCTCCTGTCCTTACAGGAAGAAGCCAAAGCAGCCAAGGAGGAGGGTGTTCCAGATGAGGAGGGCTGGGTGAAGGTGACCCGGAAGGGCCGGAAGCCGGGCCTGCCCCGGACAGAGGCTGCCAACTTGCGCATGCTGGAGAAGGAGAAACAGAAAAGGGCCCGCAAAGAGCTGCTCAACTTCTATGCCTGGCAGCATCGTGAGACCAAGAGAGAGCGTGAGTGTGCAAGTCTCCTCCTACCCCTGTCTGGGTCTCTTGTCTCTCACACTGTGGCCCAAAGAGCATCCTTCTGCCTTCAGGGGAGGCTACATCCAGCTGCCACTAAGCAACTGGCTGGCTGGATCTGAATGGCCTCTTGCCACCACCTGTTCTAGCAAGGGTTGCTGGAATATTTTGTGGGAGGGTGTGGTTTTCCAAGAGGTGCTTATTCAGTCTGCACAAAGGCAGTGATTGAAAGGGGAAACTAGCCAATTCCTCCCCAAGAGGGAGCTGCAGCACCACCGGAGATGAACAGCTGGAGCCCCAGCGTGCCATTCACCTGTGGTGTAAAAGGACCTGCTTTGGGAAACATGTGTTTGTGGCTGTTGGGACTGAGCCTCTCCGGTGTGTGGAAGTGAAGCTCCCAGGAGAGGGAGATCTGCTGCTCCCAAGTGAGCTGTTCTTTCTTCTTCTCTGTGTTTTAGACATTGCCCAGTTGAGGAAGAAATTTGAGGAGGACAAGCAGAGGATTGCACTGATGCGAGCCCAGCGCAAGTTTCGGCCATACTAAGTTGTTACTGAGCTGTTCTTCAGGTGCTTGTGCTGGAGAGGGTAGGAGAGATGCCTACTAACTCCATTTGCCAAAGGATTTTGAGGAATTGAGGCAGCTTTGCATTGCCTTTACCCTTGGATCTGAAACGGGAGATCCCAGCAACTGCTGCTGGAGGAGAGTTCCCTTTACTTGCATCAGTATCCTGCTCTTCTGTCATTCAGCCCCATGTCATCGCTTCTCAGGGTGCTCAGGTCAAGGGGCACATCCTGTGACAACATGTATCTCCCTGCCACCTGAAACCACACCTAAAGCTTGGTGAGAACTGTGATTGACCTAGCACAGCCTCTGCAGGGGCAGGGGATGGCTGAAGAACTGTAAATAAACTGCTGCTACTGTTTTCAGAACATGGGAATCCTTCTCTCTCCCTCCTCCCCTCCTGGGTCTCCTGTAGGAAACAGCTTCCTGTGTGCTGGGGTGGTGGTAAAAATTATAGCTTGTAATCTGATGCTTCTTTGCAAATTTTATTGAAGGATTGAGGAGGGAAGTGACTTAAGGAAAAACCTAACTGTGACTTGTTGCCACAAGCAGAGATCAGTGGTTTGGTACAGAGCCCTACCCCTTCTCTTGGTGATTCCTCTCTGGCCAAGTGTTGTGATGCCCAGTCATCCAGCTGTGCATGGAGCTCTGCAACCATGTCTAGGCCACGGGAAATTCTTGATAGCCAGCACTGTTGCAAGAACCAATGCCACTTTGAGCAGCCTGGTTTGGAAGGAGAAACCAAACTCCAGGCCCTGTTTCCACTTAACCTGTCCCCAGCTCACAGAAGGCAGGTAAGGATGGCAGCAGGCATGTTTAGGTGTGGGGCAATGGTTTTGTACTGCTCCTATAGAATTTTTGCAGCTCTGGAGTAGTGGTAGGTCTGTGATTGAAGTAACTCACACAGCCCCAGGATTTTACACATTTATTTTACTATCTGCATCCTTGCTAGAGATGTGACCATGAATGTAAGGTGAAAGTTGTAAATTCCAGAGAGCTGAGATAAAATGGATTTACCCTCTCCTAAAAAACTGACTGCAAATACAGTTTGCATTGCTTGCAGATTGACAGGCCTGCCTGCTTCAGTGGGCTTTTGCATCAATTTAACTGGGAGGCAGATCCTTAATAAGGCCTACCTAAGGCAGACAGTGTGTAAAAATTGTTGCCTCCCAAGATGCATTTTAGCTGCTTGGGTGAGCAGCCTGCAAGAGAAAGGAGGTTTGTTCTCCTATAGAGTCAAGAAGACAGATTTAACATTAGAACATTAATCTTTATTTAGAACAGAAATTGTCTCTGCCAGTTTTTCCATAATTTGTAGTTCTCCCAGCTGCTTCAGCTAGAGGATTAGGGATTCTCTAGTGTTCATTAAAATGGCCTTCTCTGCACAGGTGAGCTCTTACACAAGCTGATTCTTAAACAGCACCTCTCACAGTGGAACAGAGACACTGAGGCCCTCTGAGCTCAGGCATCTATGCAAGTAAGCAGAGAAGCAGAACACTTTCCTTGTTTTTCAGCAGGTTAAATCCTGGGATCCTCAGGGAGGAGGCAAGATGAGCCACCTCTATTGCAGTGCCAAAGCTGGTGGTGCTGGCTGCTGTCACAGAGGATGCCTCTGCCTTATATTCTGCTCTGTTTCAGTGTGCAAGTTTGGAGTAAGCCAAGGGGAAGGCCACTTTGGGCCTCTATCCCTGTACTCACAGAGCTGGAAGTAGAGCAAAGATTCCATCAACCTTTGGAAAATGAGATACTTTGCTCAGCTCCCCTTCAGAGTACCCCCGGCAGACCTGCTTCCACCCTGCAGTCAGCTAAGCACAGGAAAGATTATCAGAATCTAATGTTGGATGTGAGGTAGAAATGGTGACAATTCTGGAGCTTGCTTGTTAGCTCCCAGTTCTCCCAGACAGCTGCAGCTCTGAGGGCTTCCTAGAGTCTGGCCCTGGTGTTCTGTGCTGTCAGGAAGTTGCTGATGATCCCAGATACCACCTCGGGCTCATTCAGATGCACAAAATGACTCCCAGGCACTTCTGCTAGCTGGATGTGCTGGAGGGAAAGGATACAAGATGTGGTCTAGGAAAGTGTTCCCTCAAGCACACACTGCTTGCTGTGTGACACTCGTGGGAAGGGACAGAGCAAGTGAGGTAGGACAGAGATGGAAGGACCAGAGAAGAGCTGGGTCCAGAGGGCAATACTAATTTGGGACTTGGGCAGTAGGGACAAAGTTGACTTCCACCCCTGACTCCACCCCCCACTTCCCCGTGTGAGGGCTGTGCTGTTCAGGACAATCACCTAGTGGAGGGTGTCCACCAAGGTCAGCTGTGTCCCAGCTGCTGCTCCCAGATTGGTGACAAATTGAGATGCAAGGATTATGTTTGCTCTCACCTCTTTGAGGGTAGACTCAAATGCCTCCTGCAGGGCTTTCACAAAATTATTTCTGCTGGGTAGGTTGTGTGGTACCAAGAGTCCATCTTGTGATCTGAAAAACAACAGTGAGGCTTAGTACAGCACCCAGTGTGCTTCCATTTGTCTTTGTGGCTGTCCTCAGCAGGATCAATGTCCCCAGTACAGTAGGATGACAAACCCATGTGTTCTTTCCAGGCTGTTTGTAAACAGCAGGTGACAGGGTCAGATTGCACCACCCATCTTGGCTAAGCAGCTATTTTCTATCAAACTAAAAGGTGTAAAACCTTGGATGACTGCTTGGTGGTATCGGAGTGGAGACTGGCTAAATATTGTCCTTGCAGGGCTGGCTCTGGAACTGGTCTGAAAGCATAATTCTCTGCCCCTGCTCTGCCTTCTACTCTTTAACTTCTTTCCTTAAGAGTTTCCACATCTCCCCTCAGTCCCTTCTGCCTCTCTTTGCTGCTTATTTAACCAGGTTATGGCCTGCTCAGAGAGGGAGCTACCAGGGCAATTGCCCTGGAGAAGTCAGCATTTGACCTCCTGCAGAGATAAGATCATGCTGTCTCTTACTGTGCTGGTGATGGGACAAGGGAATATCCCAGGCATTTCTATGGTGCAGAGGACTGGATCTCAGCACAGTGTTACATTTCTGGACAAGCAGAAATAGCCTGAACCTGTTATGATACTAAAACAGATCAGGGAAGCCAAAGCTGCACCTCTTTTCTCAACTGCTAGCACTTCTTGTTTTCTAGATAAATCATTTAACAGCACCCCACCAGCCTAGGTAGCCAGAGCCCTGCACACCTTGCCCTCAAAGGAGATGGGAAAAGGCGGAGGATGACTGGCAGAACAAGCTGTGCACCCAGACAGCTTAAGAGCTTGGCAAGCTACTGGCCATGTCCCCAGAGCTGCTTGTCCCAGGTGCCACAGGAGAGAGCGTGCAGGAGCACAGACCAGGGGCTTCAGGAGCAGCTGGAAGAGATGGAAATTGCTGTAGTTTCACCTGTTAGCTCAAGCAAGAGGTTTTGGGGCCTGGCGAAAGGGGGCAGGCCGGGTTTCTCACTGTGGTAGAGTCAGGTCAGGAGGACAGCAAGTAGGTGTGGTGCTGTGGAGAGTCACATATTTGCCAGGATGGCCCCTTGCTGCAGTGCCAAGGAATGGAAAGTTGTGAGGTGGGATTGTGAAGCCAAGAGTATGGGAAAGATGGGGCAGGACTAACGTTTCCTCAGTGAATTCCTTGCACCAGAGAGTCCCAGCCTGAAAGTAGAGTGCAAGGCTGGGAGGATGTTCCAGTTGCTATCTGCCTTCTCTAGGAGCCTGCCCAACCCAGGACAGTGGTGGGGAACTGGGAAATACTTCTCACATGTGAAGCTATACTGTTACATCAGCTGGCCAGAAGTCTGAATGACTAGTGTAGGAGAAGGGGTAATGGAGGACTCCTTCCTAGCCTTCATTCCTTCTACTGAGGGAAACAGCAGAGGTTGGTATGGTTTGTGCCTCACTCACACAATGATGAGAACACGGTCCTGGATCTTCTGCAAGAGCTTTACACACTGCTCCACTGTGAAGAACTCTCGACTCTGCTGCAGGTGCAAAGAGAGGGAAAGTGTCAAAGTTCAGGGACAGCATCTGGGGCAGAGGGTGTCCCCAAACCCTCCTGCACAAGTGGTTCTGAAGGTAGAAGTGACTGTGGCCCTGAAGCTTCCATGCTGGGACATGACATGCATCCAGGCTGCACACAGGAGTAGATGGCTCTGCAAAGACTCCTCCTGTCCAGCTGTGTTTCAGGGCTGCCAACAGCATTGCCTGCTGGGCTGCAGCACATACGGGAATGATCTCATAGAGAAAAGCTTTAAAAATCCTTTTACTAAAAAGGAGAGTACATTACCCTGGCTTCCATATCCTGACAGTAGCACAGATAGAGGAGGCCCTAATTGCTCAAAGTGGCACAAAACTATCAAAATACCAAACCTAAGGACTTTGCTCCACTCCCCTTCTTATTCAGGTCATCTGACAAAGAAGCTGACAGAAAGCATCCATCCATCTGCTGCCTGAAGATTTAAAACAGCAGGAAAATGTGGCCAGGAAGCCCTGGGGCAGAGGAACTTTTTAAAAAAAACAAATGGTAACATTTTCCAGTCACTCTGTAAGCTGAATCAATGATCAAGTGCAGGCTCTTTTAAAAGCAGCATTTAAAGGACATGTGGGAATTAGGAAAGCAGAAAGTAAGCAGCTGGGTGGAGGGAGGCCCTAGCTCTGTGAGCAGGCATCCTCTATCTGAGTGTTCTGTAAGCTCAGGGCTCTGAAGTAGCAGGGGGCATGTCAGAAGAGCAGTGCTCACCGTACGGGCTCTCATGTCTCTGTTATACACCAGCCCTAGAAAACAAAAGCCGAAGATTTTCATGTTTCATAGAAGCAGCAGTTGTTCTGTTTTAACTCACTCTTGGGGTCTGCCCAAGACTTTCTGAGATGGGAGGAATAGGATTAATTCAGATTTCTCCTTTTTTAATTTTTTTTTTTTCAGCTATTCTAGGATTTGAGCACCAAACCCAGTTGCTGGGAATGGAGAACTCTGCCTCCAGACTTAATTGATCCCATTCAGGCTGTGTAGATGTGTAGCTAGGGCACCCTGTACCCTGCAGAAGACAATGGCTGTTGGCACCAGTTCCTTCCCACACCCAGCAGTGGCCCAGCAGCACACAGCCCCTTACCAGCGGGTGTCTCAGTTGCTCCTCGCTGCAGCAGGATTGCCCCACCCTCTGCTGTCAGATGGCTGTTGGCTTCTAAAAGCCTGAGGGAGACATGGCAGAGAGATTGTGATGCTGGAAAAAGGGAGGAAGTGAAGCAAAAATGCCATGACAAGGTGACAGTGAGCTCTCAGGCTGCTTCAGAAAGGAGCAGGAAGAAACAGCACTTCTGGCAGCAGAAGCAAAAGGTCTTGCTGGGATTCCAGAAAAGGACTTGCAGGGATGGTTTTCCTTTCTCATTTGTGCAGCTCTAACTCTGTCAAGGTGAGGGCAGGCAGTAAATGAAGAGGATGGATGGGAACCCACCTCTGCAATGCTGCTTCAGGACTCCGTGCTTTGGGAGTTTGCTGCTTTGCCTCCAGACTCAGTAGTCTGTCGATCACCCTCCGTTTTGATTTCAGCCACGCCTCAGTGTCCTGAAACACAGAGAGGTAGGGAAGAGGAGTAACCCTTTTCTTACTGATTTTACCCCTTATTGGACAGTGGAAGAGGGAATTTCACTCTTCAACATCCCTCAGAACTGGTACCAGTTATGGGTATCTTAATAAAAATGCTGGGGGAAAGGGACCATCAATACTGCTGTAATGAACTTAATAACTTTTTATCTTTTCTAACCCTTCCTATCTCACTTCTGAGTTGAGGCCAGCTCTCCAAAGTTTGGTATTTTTTGTCTCTCTGACCTAGGGCTTCTGTCCCACTACTGCCAGCGAAAGCTCCAGCATCTGGTAGCAATGATGGCAAGTTGGAAATGTAGCTTTATGAACTGCCAGGAACAGAAAAAAATCTACCAGTCTTGTACACAGGTCACCCAACAAACTGCTGGCAAAAAGATAACCTCAGCTGGCAGTTGCCTGGATAGAGGTTCCAGTTTCCTGTGTACAAGGGCTTGGCACAGACAGGCAAATTTCAGTGCTAAGGGACTGCAGGATGTGGAGCTCTACAAGTGTGCCCCAAGGGCCACCCTAAGGATGGACTTCAGTCTGCAACAAGGAGCCGATCAGTGCCTGCCAAAAGGAAGTGCCCTAGGACTTGCCAGGAAGTGGTCACATCAGTGCTTTCTCTGAACAAGTGAAGGAAAGAAAAAAACCATCTATTTTTGTGTTCTAAAAAAGTGAAGGGAAGGACACATGAGCTCTAACCTCTGGAGCTAGAAGAAAGCCAAGACTTTCCAGCAGGATCAGCTTGTCCACCATCTCGGGATAAAGGAAACAGAACTGAGGAGAAATGAAGCAATAAGAAAATGAAAAGCTGAGCACTGAGTGATGTCTTTATCCTGCTGCATGGGAGAGGGGTCAGGGAAGGCCCTCTCCTCCCCTGAGATCCAGATCTGTCCCTTCATTCCTCTCCCATTTGTTGTTGCAGCTGCAGAAATCACAACCCCATGAAGAAATGATGGTTTACTTACCATTCCTGCCACAGCCCCACCTGCAAAGAAGAAAAGGGTGCTCATGCACAGAACAGTCCCTGGTAACAGAAATTCACCTTCCCCACAGCAGGAGCTGCCTCAGAAATAAAAGTGTGCATTGTACTTTGGGACAAAATCCCAGTGCAGAGGAGAACTCTCCCAGCCCACAACATGCAGGCAGAGACAAAGGCTGTTGACCTGCTCTGTTCCCCATCTTGTGCCATTCCCACTTCCCTCAGACAGCAAAGGCCAAGGCAGAGTTACTCTTTAAAATGGCTTGTCTTGGTGTGTAGGTCCTGTTAGCTGTGACTAGAGTGGCTCTGGGAAGCAAACTCCAAATTATGGCAAAATCAAATCATATTCCATGCCCAAAGGGATGGATCCTGGTGTCCTCAGGCAGCTTTACAGCCCACCAAATAGGGCTGTTCCCAGGCTTTGTGGGGACCAGGCAGGAAGGCCTGCTGCTGTGAATTCTCCTGCATATTCCACCCCTCTTTGCCAGTCACTGTTCTGTCCTGTGGGAGAAATGCTCACAGCAAGAGTTACCACTCTCTCTGCAGCAGGGTCTTGAAAACAGGCATTTCAAACACAGGCACAGATTTTTGAGTCACTCAAGCAGGAACCTGGCACTTGGCATAATAAATATTCCAACCTGGCTCCTAGCAGCATGTCTTGGATGTTAATTACCTACTGCTTTCTATTAATCTCACAGTTTACAAGGACTAGAGCTACTTACCCATACTGTGACCCATCAGTGTGAACCGTCTCCACTGCAAGGCTAAATGGCAACAGAGAAAAACAGACAGTGCTACATTAGAAACCAGAGCAGAAACATCTTGCTGCTTCTCCACTGACATGGGTCCTTTCTCCCAGGGGGGCTTTTGTACTGCCACATTTGCTTCTTAATCCAGAAACCAAGCAGCTAAGTAGGCTGATTTTAAAGAAAAATGAGCATTTACCACCTCATTTCCATGGTATTTATGTCATACAGCTCTCAAGCTCTCTCTGTATGTCAAACAAACATCAGCAAAGTCCCATTCACTGCCAGATACGAGACTGGCAAGAAGCAGAGGAGCCTGACTGCGTAGCATCTGGTGGAAGAGAGAAACCTTTACAGAGCATCCTGCTGCAGGGCATTCTGCAAGACATGTAAGGACACAGAGCCAGGTCTGCTGCATTGAGGGAAGTATGATTCCAAGTGAAAGCTTTCTGCACCATTTAGCACATCAGGCTCTTCAGTCCATTTTTAGGGCACTCTGGGAGATGTATAGGAAAATACAGCTTTATCAGTGCTGCCCATCTGAAATATACCTCACTGAAAGATGGCATTTACCCTCTGGAACATCTGAGAGCTTCTAGAGGCTCTTGTATACTGAATGGGGAATGTAAAACCACACATGCCAAATATACAGATGGACAGTTATATCAGGAGTTATTAGGAGTACAAGACACTTTGACTTTCTGATTTCTCTGCATGATACTAAAGCAAGTAGCAAACTGTCATCAGGGAGAACCAGAAGCTTCCAATTTATTACACATAACACTGGTTAGGGGTCACTGACTGCTTACAAAAAGCCAGTCTGGCAAAACCATTTAGTTGCATCCACCACTTCACCACTACAGCTTTTTTAGTATAGGAACACTACAAAAACTTCCAGGGTTTTAAGTTTCTTCCTTTTCCCAAACAGTGAGAAAGAGGGATGCTTACTCAGTCACAAAGTGCTGGCTAAGATCAAACTGAGAAGCAGGGGGAACTGATTCCTCTCCTGGCAGAAAATGCTGCTTGCTTGTTGGAAAGAGCAGGACCCATACAGCACCCCCTGCACAAGCACCCCCTCGGGGGTTCCTTCAGCTACCCACCTGCTGCCACCCGGCGCACATCAGTCACATAATCTAGGAAATGGTAGGGGCAGCCTGCAGGTCGGTGGGAGGACAAACCATGTCCAGAAAAATCCATTGCCACATAGTAACAACCTGAAAGGGAAAGCGTATCAGATGTGCAGCCCGGCCACACAACCAAAGCCATCCTGATGAGCCAGACCTACCTCTAGGGAGCAGTGGAATGAGCTTGTCAAAGGTGTTGGCATTGTCCAACCAGCCATGCAAACACAGCACAGGGTGTCCCTCTGAAGGTCCCCAGGCCTTGGCTGCCACATGTCCCCAGGGCACAGGGAATTTCAGCTCTAAGAACATGCCCAAAACAGGGTGATGTCCTTGGAGAGTCACGTACTTGGAGTAGGTCCCAGGGGTCTTGTTAATGGTCTAGAGCTCTGAAAAGAATAATACAGGTCTTTAGTAACTCACCAGTCTCCTGTGGTCTTAATTAGCAGCTTGATGATTTATAGCTCCCCATTCAACATCCCAAGCTGCCATTCCTGACTGCCTGTTTGGGGAATCCTCCTCCCAGCACGTACTAGCTATGCTCCTAGGAAGAAATAAGCTTTCCCTACACAGGAGGAGAAAGCCTTCTCTGTGTCTCTGCAGCAGCTGCAACCTGACCAAAAGGCACAGGACGTCTGGCAAGAGGGAACCATGCAGAATTTCCCCAGCTAGCTGCAGTCAGCCAAGCACCTGTCCTGGGCCAAAAGACAGTTTGGGGAATAAGGATGCTGCCTCCAGCATTAGACTGTTACCACCTTGCCCTCTTTTACCTTGGTGCTTCTCTTGTGCACCACTGGTTGGCACATTTGCTAGAGCAGACAGCGGGTCACTGCTGCCACTGCCTGTGCACCCCTCAGGGCCAGGGACTTTTACGTGGGATATGGGTCCACAACTAGGACCTTGCTAGGCACTTGCTCGACCTCAAACCATCTCATCTATCTGCCAATCACTGACCCATGCTCAAGCACCAGCTCCTGAGTGAACCCAGCCTCTGGCGACCTTCCAATGGTGGTTTAAACATTGCCCTTCCACCCCTAAGGCACGGGCAACCATCTCCAAGTCTCTCATATCACATCCCCTTCCCAAGTGCCTTGTCTTGCATATCTGCTCCCTTAAATAGCCCTCTGAGACCGCACAGCAATTAAATCACACTACATGAAGTCTGTCCTGAGCCCATACCTCCCTAAGGAGTGAGGACAGAGGGCGTAGGCTGCCATCAGGGCCCTGATGGTCCCAATCAGCCAAGCCTGGGGCTCCCCGTGAGTATGTTTAAGCTCGGCCCAGGACCAGCAGTGCTGCCGGAGTGCCGGTCTCCATCAGCAACACCCCCTTCCCAGGAACCGTGGCGCTGCCTGCGGATCACGGGGCTGTGCCTGATCCCAGCTGCCCTCGCCGGGCCGGATCCTGACAAACAACCGTGGGCTGACTTTCCATAGTGTGACCATGCACCTGCCCTTCCCGAGGGCCTGGGCTTCTGGCAGAGCCTGATCCCAGCTGCCCAGGCAGTCCCGCCTGACCCAGCGGGGCTCGGGCGCTGCGATCCCCCGGCCCCGGGTGAGGCCTCCCTGGGCGGGCAGGAGGCGCCGCTGCCCCCGGGCCTTCGCCTCGGTCCTGCTCCCGGCCCCGGGAGGGCTGTAGCGGACCGACCCCGCCCGGCGCGCAGAGCAGCCCCCGGGGCGCCACGGCCGACCCGGCCCCTCTCCCCTCGCCGCCCTCCCGCGGCGCCCCGGCCCCCTCCTACCGCTCCTGCGGCCGGGCCGGCTGAGCAGAGGCGGCGGGGCCGGGCCGGGCCGGGCCGGGCCGGGCGGCTGCTCCGCCCCGCCGCCCGCCTCCCGGGGCGCCCGCTGCCCGCCCCTGCCTGCTCCGGGCTCGCTAAGAGCAACGGGAATGTAACGGGGGCTGTGGCGTCTGGAGCTGCGGACACCCGCCTGGGCGTGATGGGAATCTTTACGGAGTCGAAATCATGGAGGTATGGCTGCATCCTTGACTACGTCCAGAAGACGAGTTACTGACGATGGAAACTGCCTGTTCGGTGGTGACACAGTGTGAGATGTTTTAACTGTGACCCAGGAGCTTCATATTGACATCAAACGGGCCCAGTGCTTGACACTGACACTGAACTTCTGTCAGTCTCTGATACAGAGACTCTTCTGAACTCCTAACACTTGCTGGAATCGTGTTGCTTCAGGGACAAGAGTCACCCTCCCATACTGTGACCCATCGCAATGAGCTGACTCTACTACAGGGCCAAGCTGCCACAGATACACAGCGGACAGCACTGCCTCAGCCAGTCCACTCCTCTTCTGCGAAAACAGACCCCTCTCAGATGGAGAGATTTCTATACGGTTTGCCTCATTAATTGCCCAAAAAGGTGATGTCTGCATAGACCAAATTTCAAGGAAGCCAATACCCAAGTATGGTTTCTTGCTGGTGCCTCTCATTCCATCCAGCAATCAGTCTGTTAAACCTAATGCAGACCACAACCATTCCTCTTCAGTCAAGGACTCTGCAGTCAGAGAAAACAAAGTCAAATCACACTGTGAGCAGTGGCACCCCTTGCTGGAACAGCTGGAGGAGGCAGAATGAATGCATGTTCTTAGGGAATCATTTTTATAGTGGTAACTGGAAGCCTTATGCTCAGTTCAGCACATCAGTCTCCTAAATTACACAATATATTTTCACAACAGCCTAAAAAGCTTGAAAGAAACCAGTGCAGAAGCTTAGAGCCCTATTTCTCCTGCCTAGCTCTAACTCACCCTAGCAAAATGGGCTCTACACCACAGCAGTTGAAACATAACCTTGGGGACCCATCACTGAGAAGAAACAACAGCACTGTGTAGCTCACAACCTCCTTTCCATGTGAACCATTAGAAAGGAAATCAGAACATGAGTTTTTTGCAGGTTTGCAAAGTGTCCAGTGCTTTGCTTTTTCTTAGGCCTCCATACTTAAGGAACAAGGAAAGCAGGCTACAAGGACTGGGGAGCCTTGCAGAAGGAGAGAGGCCACAGTAACTTCTACAGCTTCTCTCCTACAACTCTCAGATGTAGGTGGCTAATTACAAAAGGTGAAGAGCGAGAGACAGCTTGGCAGAACAGATTTGTAAAATGCGCTCAATAATAATAAACAATAATCAAATAGCGGCTGCTGCTAAGGGAGGGCAGAGTCCTCCTGTGAATTCCCGGAATTCCTCCTAAAGAAGCCACTAGACGGCAGTGTAATTGTTAGGCAGTGTAATTGTTAGGCAGTGGCTGCTGCTAGGCTTGTGGTTCTTCAGTCTATGGCATGACTTATGAGGAAGACTTCAGCCTGTGGCATGACTTCCCTGTGCCGTGAGAAGTTATGTGGACTGTTGGCACACACTCCAGTGGTTGGTGGGACAATGGGTTGTGGCCAGGAAAATCCGTTGCCACTCATGAGCCAGACCCACTTCTGGGGAGCAGTGACATGAGCCCACTGAAGGTGGTGGCATTGTCCAGCCAGCCATGCAATCACAGCACAGATTATCCTCAGGCCTTGTCTACCACCTGTGCTTGGGGCATGGGGGGCTTCACCTCCAAGAATTTGTACCCACAAGCAACATCCCCTGAGAGCTACATGCTGGAGCTCTACCTGACCTCTACCTAATACCAGTTTTTGGGCACAAGCCTTGTTCTGGATAATCCTGGGATCCTGCTGTAAATGCTTGCCCTGGCAGTATATGCATCACCACCCACAGGTCTTGGACCACCACACTGGTCTCTCTCCCCCATTCCAGCAGCCAGTAGGAGCTGGGCTCTCATTGCTTTGGGTCACAGAGATTATTCTGGGACTCATGTGGGAATAGTGCATTCTCTAGTGACATTGGGCTCACGTGACCTGCATCCTAAATCACTTCTGGTAAGAGGCTCCATCAGCAGCTGCCTGTTGGGAAAGGAAGAATTCCTCACCAAAATGATGGGAAGTAAGTGATTTCAATAGAGCTCCAAGTGGAGGAGATTGCCCTGGGATGTGCTCTGTAGCCTCCCCTATTAGCAAAAGCCAGATTGTTGAGCTGTCCTCCAGGTCCCTCATACCTTCTCTAGCAATGCTACTCACCCCTCTAAGAGAGCATCCCAACATCTTACAAGACTGTGCATCTCCCCCAGCACAGCCTGGAAAACCCCCCAGGGGGAGGACCCAATGCAGGATGCACAGCAGAATTTGGATGGCTCACAGAATTAATTTTGCTGTATCTACTTCTAGTAAGTGCCACAGGCCACTGCAGTGGAATTGCTGCTTGTGGAGGACCAAACTAGACTCCACCTGGAAGGTGCTGAGGTGTTGGGTGTGCTACACTGTACTGGTGGTAAGAAAGGCTGGTTTTGAATGAAGAACTGTGAGTTAGTGTGAGATATCCCATGTGCTTAGTAAAGGGTAATTTAACCTCTGTGTCCTTGCAAAGGAGCAGGAGACCTGTAAGGGTGAACACTGGGACATGCAAAACTGTTATGCTCCACTGACTTGGAACAGCATTGATCAGTTTGTGCTAGCTGCAGATCTGGTGGGGAAACTTTAAGTACAGCAGATTGATTGCTACCAGGGGATAAATTCCCCATAGCTGGTTGGATTCAAGCGCTGAAGTACTGACATATTGATCTATTTATGTTGATTTATTAGTAAGAGTCCTGTACCCCAACTTCTCTTGTGTGGTTATACAAATAAAAAAAACCCATGCTATTGCTAGCTTAACTGATTTTTTTCAGAGGATATATAGGGGACACACCTCTATATAAAGCCCCATATTGTGAGCATATGCTGCAATCTATAGTAGACAGGAAAATAAAAGTGATCAGAGGCAAGCATGTTATCATGCAAGAAGCTCCAATATGCTGGCTCACAGACTTTAGTCTGAGCTTCATCTACTAATCTTGCTTACCTTGGAGATGGTCCCAGGAAGTCTCAAGAGTTTAAATGAGCTCCCCAGGTGGGAAGACTTGGGGTAGGATATCATCCCACAATCTCTGGGCTCTGCTCGACAGCAACAGACTCATCCAGGTACCTCATGTGGTGTACTTTTTCTTTGTTTTTTTCCTAATTTCCTATTGAAAAAGTTGCTTACATATTAAGTGGAAAAAAAAAAAAAAAAAGAAAAAAAGCTGTGATGGCTTAGATTGGTTTCACTCCCTTACTCCAGATCTGTTATGCTCCTTGTTTATTGGCATCATGCTGTAACCAACTGAGCTAAACTCAGTTTTTCCAGAGCTCTCCAGCTGTGCAGAAGGTGGGAGAGACAAAGAGATGCTGGCTCTTTACCCACCACAGTCTGAGGCCAATATGATAATTTAAATGGAAATCTTTGTTTTAAGCCAAGCAATGAGTAGTTGAAAAAGTGGAGTGCATCTACTTCAGGGATTCACCTGCAGCGTAATTTGGATAGTGGGGCTGCTGGGGTGTTAAATCATTCCCACATGAACCACCACCATTCAGCTGGAAGCAGCCCCAGGCACACACCATGCATCAGGTCCAAGTGGTGCACATTTGTATCGCTTTATTTGCAGCTAATGAAATGGCTAGAAACATTTATTGCATATAAATTATATATGAGCACCCATCATACAAATAAACTCTTTCCAGTCTCAGCTTTCCATTTCCTCCTTAATCAGAAAGTCTATTATATTTGGGACAGATTCAGGAGTCTCTGCTGGTTCTCATCCCTTGGGCCTGTTTAGATTAACTTATGAGGTGAACTACTCTCCAGATCTCTACAAAACCCATACCCACCTTTAGAGCATGCACCTATTTTAATGTATGAAGTGGCAGGGGAAGAAGAGAAGTTTCTGTCCAGCTCTTGTCTAGATTTAACCATCTTTCACTTGGAAAATCTGGCAGATTTCCCATAGGCTGAGATGAAATAATAGCGAAAACCATAAGTAATCTGACACTTGTAATTATAGGCCTACCAGCTCCTTATTGACCTCAGACAGAATAAGGAAGTAGCACGTACTAGGATAATTTAAAAACAAGAAAAAAGTTCTAGTTAACACTAAGCCTTGTGTGTTTATGGAAAAGAATCTATAAGACTGCTTGGGAACTTTTGGAGATGTAAGTTATAGACTTAGGTTATCGATTTGGCTGACAAAAGTAAAAAATGTTGAACGAATAGCTCTCCAGCAAGGAAACTGGTACAGTCTTATACTGTGTTTTGATTTTTAAAATACTGGGATGATACCAAATTAACACATTTTGTAGTAATCGGACTGAGGATTGACTAGGTAGCAAGTGTCAAAATATTAAAGTTGATACAAGCATGTAAGGGGGGTTTTTGAAACAGTCCAATGGTAAATTACTCTAACCCGGGCCACACTTTTGATATGGCCGTGCTGTTTGTGGAAGAAGTGACTCTGGTGAAGGACTGACTCACAGCAGAGCAGCAGCTGAGTGTGACTTCCCAGTGCAGTCAGAAAGGCTAATTCCATTCTCCCATGTATAAACAGGGAATGTGGAACAGGTGTAATGAGATTATATGGCAGGAGATTATGTTGTGTCTGCTAATTCCATGGGGCTGATAACTGGTGCGAAAGAATTCCCAGTTCTGACAGCTATGATTCAATGAGGAAGGGAACAAGTTGGAGAGGCTTCCTGGCAGAGCTTTAAGGCCTGTTAAGGAGTTGGAAGACATTTTATGAGAGAGAAGCATTTAGGACCAATATTATCAAAGCCTTAGTATATCTATGTAGCATTGCATTTTTGCTCCTCTGATTGTCACACTGCCTAACAATGGCACAAGACAAAAACAGTCTAGAGACGAGGTATACTTTCGATAATGGAGAAAGG